ATGTTATGGTCTGACCACCGCTACGCTCTGTGTTCGATGCGATGCTTTATTCTCATGCCCTTCCCCAATAAACTAACCTTTGTACGTTGCATTTATTAACTTATAGTTTTGACGCATCTTATGTATATTCATTATTATGGCTTCCAAACCGATCGAGTAGCCCTTGCACCATCTAATCATGCGGCCCGTGTGGGTTACTAGGATGGTCTCGTGTCTCATCTGGATCGACCACTTGTATGTGGTCACATGTTCACTGTTAGGAAATGTCACGTTTGTTCGGCGTCTCTCGCTGTGTCTCCAGGGTGGTTCACAGTCAGCATGCAAGTGGGATTATTTCTTTAAATTTTGATTGGTAATATCGAGAATGTCGAGTTAATCCATAGCAGTGTTTAGATGGCAGCAGTTTTACTACAATATACAATTTTGTAACACCACAAGAGAAAGTCTTGCAAGCTATGGGCGACTTTTAAACATTTTGATTGATAGTGCAGATCATCCACACTGGATATTGTCCTTTTTATTCGTGCCCCTCGGCACCATAATTCGGGCAATGTCTTCTCGGCAATCAATACTCAATACATGACATCTACAAATTCGCTCATGCTTGCTTTATTCAAGAAGAGACAACTTTTAAGATCCTGGCAGGTCAATCCGCATTCTCGTCTTTCTTTTTGGTCGATCGTTCTCCACCTTTAAAGTTTGACATGATATCAATTGTTTTTGAAAAATCGGATTTCCAGATTGCTAGATGTTCGCAGCCACGTCTTGCTCCTACCTACGATGTTTACACTGCCACGGGTCGCATCGTGTCCTGCCTACCCAATATCCAGGCTGTTCCGAACGATATTCTTATAGATTACCCACGCATCCTCGTGCCGGGCGAAGCAAACACGATTGTTTCCTCTACCCAGAAAGATGTTCTAGAAAAGCGTCCTGCTTCTGAGAGTCAAAGCTGGCCAGGCTCAATTCTTAAAGCGCTCGCTGAACTTCCTCAGGAACAGGTGGTAAGCAGTTTCCTGTTTTATGGTGTTACATCAAAAAGGCTGTTTTCATCCCNATCCCAACATGCTAGACCATTATCTGATGTCTGATTCTTAGTACTCTATATTTTTTTGTTTGCATGTTGAAGAGAATCGTAATAATAATCCCTTTAATGAACACGCAGCCTACCGATTACCGACTACTGGCCATCTTTCTGCCCCCATGAATTTCGCCTTAATGTTAAACTGCTCATGTTTTCTAACCATTCTCACCATAAAATATTGATGCTTCAGCGTTGATAAACGTCTTGGGCCGTTTGCGCCTAAAACAATGTATAAAATAGATCAATCCCACAAAATTCGATAACTAATATCGTTATTCACTGTTTATTAGGTGTATTTCAGAATACGGTGTAATACAAGGATGGATATTACTTTTTTATTGTGCTGTTTTTTGTCAGACTTAACGGGGTGCACCGTCAATAACCTTGGAGTTGCGCAGCAATTTTAAAGAGAACCGCAAATTGATAATACATGCGCTTTTTGGAAATAATTCCAGATTTTTGACCTAAGTTTGACAACTGACGGATTAGCCGTGCGCTCCTCACTTGCACTCCCGGTTTTCAAACAAGCGCAGAATGGACCCTCGGCATCCGCCGTTTTCCAAAAACTCACTCCGGAGCAGTCTCATTTTTATATCATGAAAACATATTATTATTGAGCCCTCGTTGACTTGTTTTATCTTTTTTTGCTTAGACTTCTGCGGTCATCACTAATTCAGTCAGTTTGATTTCTAGGGATCTTCATATGTCTGCTTGTCGTTGATTAATCTGACTACTGCTAATAAAAGCGGACAATTGTAAAGCAGTGATCAATACGCATCGCACTTTTCTCCTCCTCACAATCCTAAACACACACATCGGTCTCTGTTACAGGTTATCCGCCCCAGACTTGCCTTCTGCGTTCCCGAAAATAGTATGCTCATCTCTGGCGACTTTTGTCAGTTGGAGCTGAGGCTTCTCGCGCACTTCAGTCGGGATGTCAATCTACTAAATCTACTAGGTGTTACAAATTCCTCAGAGTCCACTGATTCAAGTCTATCTTGTGCTCCGCCAACACCGGAACAGGACGCATTCCGAAAAGTGAGCATTGATCCTGTACATTTCGCCTCCTTTAGATGCAATCATATCTTTACCCATGAATTTCATTTGAGGAACCTTGTTATCCCCAATCACAACCAGTCGATCTTTTGATGTTGAATTAGGTGATATCTTTCTTTGCTATGCGTTGGGTTTGCGGTCAGATAATTTGGAAACTTATTGATCTCGAATGGTGCATACAGATACAAACATCAAAAAGTAATCACTAACGTCCTCTAATAATTTGTTTGTTGACCTCCCCGTAGCTCGCCGCATATTGGTTGAAATTGTCCTCTGCTGCCGAAGTGAGCACATCTCAACGCCAACAGGCTAAACAATTGTGTTACGCCTTAATCTACGGTATGGGCTCTCAGGGCTTGGCTTCCCAGTTGGACATCTCGGAAACGGCCGCTCAAGGCTTGGTAGATAGTTTCCTTCGTGCGTTTCCCGGTAAGTATGCTTGTAACTCGGTGGGTTCTGTTGAGAAACCTTCATTCGTATCGAAAATCCGCACCATTGTTAAACGAATATAGCCTCTTCTTCATCCAAGGTATATATATATATACCAGTTGAGTGAAATCAAATTTCAGATCAGATTCCGTTCAAATTGCTCATGTTCCTCGTTTTCCAGTTCACTTGTTTCTCACTGATGAGCCTAGTTTTATTTGCTGCATCATGTTGGCATTTGAATAGATAGACACTTCTTGCAATCATTTCAACCTTTCTGAAGGTGTTCAGTGCTTCATTAGTGACACAATTCAGTCCGCTCATCGTCTGGGTCACGTTTCCACTTTGGGCGGCCGTAAACGAATCCTCAGTGCTCTTGGAGAATCCCGGGCGTCGTCTTATCCGTTGGGCGCTCGTGACTTGAACGGTCGACGATTAGTTCGAACCCGCTCAGAAGAAATTAAACATCATTTCGCTGCGGTTAAGGTAAGAACTTTAGCGGACTATTTTCCTTGGTCTATTCGTTCTACTTATTCGGTTTTCGAACTGACTGTCCTGGGACAATAGCGTTGATGAGCGGCCAATTTCCTGAGGTCTCTCACTGGATGACACTAACTCTATCTGCTCTTTTCGCACAACTCGCTTGGCTGTGACAAGACTCTCAACACTTAGATTCCTTTTTA